GTACAGACGGGGCAGTGGCGGTGCACTGTAAAGGTAGGACTGCAAGTCTTTATGTTTAATTGATGTGATTTATTTCTTTTATCTTAACTTTGTCTCTTTAAACACTCCATCCCTTTACAGCTGGATTAGGCCGCACGGGCACTCTGATTGGCTGCTACCTGATGAAGCACTTCCGCTTTACTGCAGCCGAGGCGATTGCTTGGATCAGAGTCTGCAGACCTGGCTCTATCATCGGTCCACAGCAAAACTTCTTAGAAGAGTGAGTTTGTGCCTCAGCTGTGACCGCTCAAACCAAACGGTCCACTTTCCGTGACTCCAAAGGTCTCGGTCGGAGACGATCATTAAGCTGTAGTCCGTTCATGAAAGTACAGGAGTAATGCTGTGCACACAGACACGTCTGCAACACTTCATTAGGATAATGTCACGAAACACAAGCAGACGGCAGCTTCACCTCCAAGGTGCACGGAGAAGACAAAGATCTGACGAGGTGAAGACTCCAGTCACAGAGTGTCAGGGAACCATAACGTGTTAGTGGCCTTCATCAGGGTCATTGCGTTTGTGAAGGTGTGATTGGTCCACTTGGATCTTTTTCTGTTTCCAGTCTTTTTTATTTAAACACAAGCTGTTTGACATTTTGCAATGACCCAAAAGGCGTTGGCCACTGAGTACAGCTGTTCTCTAATACTTCGAGTGTTGCTGGAGTCTTCACACAAAGCACAAGTGGATCAGGAAGGGTTTGAGGGGTCACCTTGGCCTTCAACGTCGGCAGATCTCAGTCTCATCGAGCATCTGTGAGATGTGCTGGACAAACAAGGCCCGTCTGTCCTTAGGCTGTGGCATCTATTGCTGTTACCACACAGGATGTTTCTCCATGCTGAGGTCATGGTTGGAGCATGCTGGAAATGTTAGAAGAGAAGCAAAAGGTGGAGGTCAGGGTGGGGCATTCCCCAGGGTGCCCATGTGCAGCTGGTGGTGACTGCAGCAGTGGGAAACTGGTGGATGCTGAATCGAATCGAATGAAACTGTGATACTGCTGCAGACTGCAGTCACAGTGTGCAGCTGGTTTCTCTCCTCAGCTCTGGACGCACACTTCCTCCTTACGCCACAGTAGTGCTCTGTTGCTAATGGCTACTAGCTTTGTGTGTCTACTTACATGCTAAACCAGGATGTTGAATGTTGTACCTGCTAAACGTGATATCACAGTCAGTTTGTGGCGTGTGTTTGATGTTTGTGTGCAGGAAGCAGCACAGTTTGTGGGTTCAGGGTGACGTGCATCGGTCTAAACAGAAGCTGGTCCAACAGAGACTGAGTCAGCAACAGCAGCTTCACCGCTCTGACTCTGTGCAGGGAGGGAACAGGAGGCAGTGTCCTCGCTGCTTTCCAGCATGGATGACCTGTCAATCAACACCGTGCTCTGCAAGTCATATAGCTTGGATGAGGTCAGCGGTGTGACTTCATAGCACCTTTTCTTAATGGTTACTGCAGAATTCAAACAGGCTACTGAGTTACGATCACAATGTTGTGTTTTCATGCTGCTAATTGTGTCTGTGCAGAATAACTGCAAAGAAGTCAGTCTGACACAGGGAGACGAACTGAGAGCACTGAAGGGAAAACGCCCACCGAGATCAGCGTCATCCTGCTCAAGGTACCAACATCTGTAACGTAATTAATGATAGATGGTTATTGTGGTCAGTGCAAGAGACACGTGGAGAATTAGCTCAAACGCTGGAAACAAAGTTTCTATTAACAAGGAGAGATAATAGACACCAATATGTTTTTGTGGATGTCAGAAAGTACGTAAGTGACTGTGCTGTCGAATGCTACAAAGAACGCACGCTTTGTTTGCACGCTGTCTAACAGGCAGACCGGACTGCATGAAATCCTGCTGTGTTCTCATCTGTGCAGCGTGAATGTTGTGTGTAACCTGCTCGAGCTCATGTGTCCTTCTTTGTTCTTCGGTTAAACTGAAACCTAAATGCAACAGGAGAAGTTGTTGTCTTTTGGCGACTTTAGTTATGAGTGAGATTAAGGTTCTGGAGGTTGTCAGAGTATTCCTTCTACTGCCTGACGGTGTCCTCAGCTGGAGCCAGCAGGCCTCCATCTTTACTGTACACCGTGTTGGTGGAGCACCACTTCCCCTCCTGATGGTTTGCCAGAATCGCTCCTCCTACGCCCAAGTTTTTGCTGCAGCCGCGGCCTGAGCTGCGTTTCGATTGGCCTGCCCGCTGCCTCTGCTCTCCATCCTTGGCTGCCGCCAGACACACAATCAGTAGATAATGCCTCTGCTCACTACAGTTTTTGTTTGGGTCCCTGAATCCACGGCCCAAATATAGCAGATATATAAGAAGCTGCCATAGTTCAAGAAACATTTCATAAAAAGTAAATAGTTACAAGTCGGGGATATGGGAGCTGCGGCAAAAAGAAACCAAAGGACGACCACGAACCAAACTCACGGCTTCTCCTGTAAACTAACATCACCAAACTGCTAACCTGACACAACCAAGAGCTGGGCTTCCACGGAGGTCAAATCAGGTACCTCCCACACGTCGAAGCGTGTTTGTATCTCGTCTCTTGTACAGAGTGTATGTGCAGATGTTGATTCCTGCAGTGAGCGTAGAAATCATCAGAAGAATTTTTAGAGAAATTGTTCGCTGTGCTTGTTTTTGTGAAGGATCAAGGTTAGTATTTGCTCTTGGATCACACACACACACACAAATATGTGTTCTTGTTTTCTGTGTCAGGTTAAACCTGTCCAAGACTTCACACTGCTCCATCCTCCCTCCCCCGAAGCCCTCCAAAGTCCACCTTTCTCTCACCCCCTCTTCTACTAAAAAGCTGAGACAAAGTTCCTCTACCACCACTGCTCCGCAGATCAGGAGGTTGGTGTCTGTGCTTTTGTTCCTTATTAGAAGAACATTATAATAAAACCAATATAAAATGTGATGTGCTGATGTCTCCACAGTCCCTTCAGCCTCACTTTGTTTAGCACTAGGCCAGCACTGATTCACTGACTTCACACTTGGGACGTTCTGGTTATGAATCAGCCCAGCTGATGATGGACTCGCTGGAAACTGGATCAGCCCTCTTGCACGTTTAATAGGCTGTAAATCCTTTTTTAGCCCCAATAACTACTTTTCGTTTTGATAGACAGAGCCAACAGTTTGTCACCACTTTAACTGGTCACGTGGCCCATTCTGTGATGAAAGGACTGACACCGTAAATCATCACGTCTCTTGGGTATAGCAGGCAGGTAACTGTAAAAAACTGCTGCTGCATATTGCATATATAACATCTGCTAGATGCTGAATGTCCCGTTGTCACAATCATTTTGCTGGAAGCAAAGGACACGTGCAGGTGCAAAGACCAAACAACGCTAACAGGGAATAAAAGGTTATGGCCCGAGGACTGAGTCAGACCATCGCCAAGAGCAGTCTGGGTGCTTCTGGTAAACGGCTGCTGCCATTTGTCCATCCGAAGTTCAGAACCACAGGATGTAGACGGCCTGAAGCAGCGTCTTGGTTGCGGAAACACAGACCTTTAGAAGTCGTACCAAAATCCACGCCTTAAACTTTGGCAGATCACATGATGGACCTAGCTTATTTGGCACGTTGTTGTAATGTTGTCTCCTCGTTTTCAGTACTTTAGTAACCAGGTTGGGTCAGAGAACCATAGCAAACCACATCTTTTGTTAGAGATTGGTGCAGATTGTTCAAGAATTAACAACTGGACGCAAAATTGTCTTGCAAGACCAAGAGTGACACACTGCTTCTGCTACAGATGTTATTTATATTCTCCCAGATTTCATCGATAAAGTATGACAAACTTACATTTGTTGGTCTGTTAATGTTCTAATGATGCAGAGCGAGGGACACAAAGCCACGACGTGCTTATAATGCACTGTGAAAGCCTCTGAGCACACATGCTGGCAATGAAAGAGGAAATCAGTAAAATGAAGACAGAGATTCAGATGTTTCACGTCAGACTGAACACGGCACGCACACTTTATTTCACAGGTCATTCACATTCATGCACTGGATTTGTCAACAGGACTTTATCATACATAAAGCAAACTCACTATGTTCAGCTTTGCACTATTTCTTTCTTGCAGTAAAATTCTTAACATGCAAATGATGTTCAGCTTTGAGCGTGTTGTTGCTGTCATGCTTTCCTGTATCTGACTGTGTGACAGCAGCTCAGATGTGCTGTCTGATTGGTAGTTTACTCCAAAGGAGGGAAACCAGCTAATGCTAGTGTGAAGTGCTAAAATCAACAATAAAGTCCAAGTAATGACGAGATAATGACTCATGCTTCTCTTTGTTATCATCACACTGTCATTGTGTCATAACCTTCACTGAAAGTCACCTGACACTGCTGTGGGACACTGTGGGA